TGTGCGCGACTGCATGTGAGGGCGTGTGCGCGTGTGCGCGACTGCATGTGAGGGCATGTGCGGGGGGTGCGTGTGCGCGACTGCATGTGAGGGTGTGTGCGCGTGCATGTGCGAGCACGTGTGTGCATGTGCGGGCGTGTGCACGTGTGTGCGTGTGCATGTGTGCACGCGCGTGTGTGCATGTGTGGGTGTGTGCGCATGTGTGCGTGTGCAGGTGTGTGCGTGTGCAGGTGTGTGCGTGCGTGCGCGCGCATGTATGGGCGTGTGTGCCTGTGCGGGCGCGCGCTCCGGCCTTGCGGACGGCCTCCCTCTAACTGCGGGTCTTCCGCGAGAGACTAATCCAAAGCCCTGCCTGACGGTAGTTTGTCGGAGCCCAACGCGCTGATGCTGCTAAACGCGGTCCAGCGCCCGCCCCGCCCGGGGGTCTCTGCCACCTCCCAGAGCGCACGAGGTGCCTTTTAAACCCCTGTGCCAGTCTCCTGAGAGCGCCCCGCAGGCTGTTAGACAAAGCCTGGGCCCCAGCCTCGGAGGTGGGGTGGGGCTCCAGGGGCGCGGTGGTGCCTTCATGCCCCAACCTGCGCTGTCCTTGCCTGTCACCTTGCCCAGGTCGTGTGGACAGGGCTCGCCCCCTCCCCCGCCACACAGCACACAGCGGTGCTTATTGCTCCAGATCGCCCTGCCCCCCACACACTGGCAGACACACCAGCTGGCCTTGCAGGTGGCTTCCCTTCCTGCGCCCCACCTTCTTGTGCCTGCCCTTGGTGCATGGGAGCAGTAGAGGGTTTCCAGCCCTCGGGCCTCCAGGAGCTGCAGGGTTACCAGCGCCGCCGGTGTTCACGGCTTCCCGCTGCGCTGTGGACACTGGCCTCAGGAAGCCCGGACCCTGCACAAACCTGAGTCCCGGCAGACCGCCCACTCCAGTGCCTCTCACGCCCGTCCGCATCTCAGCCCCTTCTCCACCCAGGGTCCTGCCCAGGGCTCCGGCCTCTAGAATGTCCATACAACACTACACACTGCCCGCCTTGGCTCCCAGCTGGGGGAGCAGGAGCTGTGGGCGTGGACAGGGCTGCCCATGGCACCAGTCAGGGTTCACCCACCAGGTGCCACACTACGTAAAAGCACATTGCATTCCACTGCCCCTGGGTGTCACTGCTGCAGAGTCTGTCTCGGAGGTTAGGACCTTCCTCGCATTTGGGAAAAAAAGAAAGAGCTTCCTCTGTAGCTGGCACCAGAATCCACTGGTTTAATCCCATACCCTAAGGCCACACTGTCCCCTCCTGTGTCCTTTGTGTGTCTCTTGGCTCTGTGTCAGCAGGCCAGATAAACTTGAATCTGGCAGAGGCTGACCCAGTAGAAAAGGAAGGGAACCCGCCTCTGGGTGACCCTTATCTGCGAGTTTTCATGGGGAGACGATCTGAAATTCTTTCTCTCGGTGCTCAAGGCTGTGGCGTGTTCGCTGAGGCGTCAGCTCTTTTCTCGGTTAGAAGTGACTGTTTGTGTGCTGCTTCCTGTGGCTCTTCGTGAGCCGAGGGGCAGTGACCAGGACCAGCGCCCACGCGTGGTTTGGAGGCAAGGAGGGCAGGGCTGCTCTGAGACCGCGCTCACCTTTGGTGACCCGGGGGCGCGCCCCCAGTTCCTGCGCGGGGTCTCGTGGGTGTGCAGGGATTCGGGCCGCTCCTCGCCACCCGGAAGCGTGGCTCAGGTCAGCCGCCGCCTCGCGGCCCATGCACCTGCCGGCGGCCCTGTCCAAACGCTTCGTCTTTGGCCGGGCTGGTCCATATGCTCGTTCACTTTCCTGTAAGTGTGAGGGACTGTGACCTCGTGAGGCTGACGGGAATGCGAGGTGGGACGGCCCAGAGGCCGGGACCCCACCAGCTCGGGCACCACCCCCGTGCGCTTCTCACTGAGCCTGGCGTCCCCGGAGCCCGAGAGGAAGGCGTCCAAGGCGCCCATCTAAATTCTGGATTCGTCATAGCCGGAGAAGGTGACTGTTCGCAAGGCTGAACTAGACCATTTACAACTTTCCTACACGTAGACTGTAGTCATTCTTGTCTCTAAAACCTTCAGCTTTTGTAATTTTTTATCTTAATTTCACTGTTGCCCTTGATGATTGTCTTTTGTATTGAGATGTTGCAGGAGCAGGAGGTAGTTGTGCCTCATCTATTATTGCAAAAATGTAACAATAAACTTCCTCAAATAACATGCTGTTCTGTTACACTGTTTACACAGAAGGACACGTGGGTGTTTTGCTGAAGTGTTTTTTAACTGTTCTGTCTAGAGAAATCGTCTCAAAGATGTTGAGTGTTACAGCTTTGTAATTTACAGGGATCTCTAGCATTCTCATTCTTGTAAATTTTTTTACTTCTCGCATAAAAACAAATGAGTCGGGTTATTTTAGCTCCAGGACCAGAGCTAAATCTTGACACAGGGTTATTAACTGTGCCGATTAACTCCAGTCTGTTCCCAGGGCCGTCGCTCCCTTGGTGGGAGATAAGGGCCGTTAGGGTGGGAGCGTCCACACCCGCTCACAGCCGGCCCCGCCCCGGATTAGTGCGGACAGGGGGGCCTGGTTTGCGATTTGGTCACCCTCACTGGGTGCTTATTAAAATAAACTTCTCGTTTTTCTTTGCTTAATAGAAAATACCAGTCAGCACTCAACCAATATCAAGTTCAGCTTTCAGACCCACAAATTCAGAGCCAGTGACGCTAATCCTAGTTGTACTTGAAGGTTCATTGTTTAATAAGCAGTTTTTATTTCCACGCGGTAAACAAGCCTGGCGCACAGGGCAGCTGGCACGGATCCTGCTTTGAACAAAGGCTTCCGAGCACAACTTCCAAACAGGTAGTCGTGGCGTGTGCGCGAAAGACACACAAGGGCGGCTGGCGACCGACCGCCTGCTGCTGCCCTGGGACCCGGGAAGCAGGGGAGCCCCCGCCACTGCCACGGGGCCTGTTGGGAGGCCAGGGAAGGGCGGGTGGGCTGTGGCCCGGCCTTGTTGACCCTCCCCGGGAGCACTGCCGAGGGGGTGGGATGTGGCCCGGCCCTGCCGACCCTCACAGGGCTGTTCCCCGGCGGCCGAGGGAGCAGGGCTGCCGCGTTCCAGCGTCTCTGTGCTGAGCAAGTCCTTGGGTGGCCCTGGTCATCGAGGTGGGGGGACTGGACTAAACCCATAGTGGATATTTCTTGGAAACTACTTTTTAAAATAACCCCTGACATGAGCTTGTTTTCATTTGCCTCTTTATCCAAGAAGCCAAGTCCAAAAATAAACCTCCGTTGTTCTGGGTTCTCGTTAATCAAGGTGCTGCTGGGGTGGGGGCGGGGGCTCTGTTGGCCATTTCTCCCCTGATTTACAGGATTTCAACAGCTCTCCGAGCTTCGGTCTTCTCTGCAAAGCGGGAGGCGTTTCCTGGCTTGTTCCCCAGCGTTGAGCCGTCCCAGCCTGTCGTTCCGAGGGCTGTAAATGGGCCATTTCCCTGGGTTTCCTTGAAACCGGTTCCTCTGTGTATTTAGTCGCCCCACGGGGGTCAGGACTAATCCGGCTCCACTGGAGACCAGCATGCTGGACGCAGGGACAAGTGGCCCAGAGCAGGCCTGTGCTGGCTCCAGGGCCTGCGGGCCGCAGCTCAGGTCCCTGCGCCTCCCGGTCCTCCCAGGATAAAAATACTCCGGCAGGGACTCGCCCTCTCTATACAAACAGGGCAGCCCAGCCCCGGTGGCTCGGGCCTGTTGACGGGCCTGTTTATGTTGGCATCTTCACCTTAGTGCTGGCCACCCACCCGGCCACTGGGACCTCAAGGACTCCGGGTGGAGGTGCATCAGCGGCCCGAGCTCACCGGGCCGAGCAGGGCTGAGGGGCTGCGCAGGAACCAGCCGCGTCTCCTCCCTGCTGCTCAGACTGACCAGCTGCTTTCCTGAGAAAGAGCCAGAGCTGGGGGGCCGACAGCAAACGGCCTGCACGTCGGCCCCAAAGCTTTGCAGCCCGGGGCAGAGCACCCAGGCCAGCCGGGGCCGCCTGGGCCACAGGAGGGCGTTGCCTGGCAGGGTGGCCCTGAGACGCGAGGCCAGCTGGGTCACAGCTCTCAGGGTGGAGGTCGGCCTGCTCAGGCCAGTGCCCTGTAGGGAAGGTGTCGGTCCCCCCGCAGGACTGGGGTCCCGCAGCCGCCTGGCCTGTTGGGTCTGAAGAGCGGCTCCTGTGGCCCGGTGCGTGGACCTTCTGTGTGTGTGGTGTGCGCGTCCCCTACGCGCCGTGGCCTCTCCTTTGAACTCGGTGGGATCTAAATTTGGACTGGTAGCTGTAACGTCAGCCACTTGGCTAAGCCTGTGTGTGTTTATCTTTTTTCTTTAAGCCCTTTTGGAGATTTATTTCCTCCCAGAAAGGCCTGAATCACATGTCCCAGGGGCCAGTGCTAGCGGGACCACATCCCTCCTCCTGCCCCACACTCCGGGCTTAGGTGGGGGTGGGGCTGAGAGGTGGGGGAGGGAGGACGGGTTCAGGGTGACTCTCCCTTCACTCGTCTGACCGGACTTTGCGCCTGGGGAGGAAGAGGGAGAACTGAGAGGCCGGGAAGCGGGAAGCCCAGGCGGTGGGAGGGAATGTGCCCCTCTTAGATCCTAGATCCGGGACCCTGCCGCTCATCCCCCCTAATCAGGACGTAGTTGGGTGCGTGTTTAAGCGCTCGGGGCTGGACTGCTGGCCGCATCCCACACGGGAGCAGCAGTAGGGAATCGCGTGTCCCCGGACTGTCCAGCTCTGTTCAAGCCCCTCGCCGGGGCTCTGAGCTGGGCGGGTTCTCGGCAGGCTCCCGTCCCTCTGTCAGGCTTGGGGGCCTGGGACAGACAAGGAGCAGAGGGAGCAGTCATCCTTGCATGTTTATAAAAAAATCTCCGTTCCTAAATGTTCCTTTTCAGAACGTCTCTCCCAGCAGCTATCCCAGGGCCACACTGCAGCTGCGGGGAGGCTCTGCTGCCGTGGCTGGGCCCTGCCCCCTTTAGAATGCTTTTTTGGGACGTTCGTCACAGTTGAGAGCCAAAGGCCACGGGCACAGATAGACGCGCTGAGAATGCAGCCGTCACCCCCATGGCGCGTGCGTGACCCTGCACTCCCGCCCTGGGTCCCCGAGACACACTCAGGTTATTACGAGTGACGCGAACATGTCCCGTGTGAAGGGAAAGGATTTCTTTAAAAGTAGAGTCATCGTTCTTAAGTCACACGCAGCTCGGGAGCTGCCATCGCTTCTCAGTCCACAGCACGGAGGCCTGGGGGGGGCGGTTTGAGGAAACCCTGTGTTCCTCACTGTCCGTGGCCTGTCCTCGGGGGAGCAGGCCTGCGGCCCCCCAGAAAGGTGGTCAGCCTGGCTCCTGGCCACACAAAAGCCCTAAGGAAAGTTTTCATTCAAATGTCCTGATAACCTTACCGCATGCCAGGGATTAACCGTCTGTGGGAGACAGGAAACTGGAGAGCGGGTCAGACTAGGTCACGGGGGCCGTGGACACCCCAAGCGGTGGACACCAGGGCGGACTTTCCTAAATGTCCCCCATCTCACCGGCGCGGGGAGCCTCGCCCTCCCCCCGCCTTACGAGACAGTGCTCTCCGCGCCCAGGCTCCCTTGGCCTCGTCAAGAAAACGCGCCTCCTCCGCCTGGGTCAGAGTCCTGCCTTTGGAAGCCGGGGCCACATGGACAAGAGCCAAGGCCCTGCCTGGTGACCGCCACCCCGGGGGGCAGACCCTGCACCAGGCCCCGCCTGCATCACAGGAGCGTGCGTGTCCCTCACGCTGGTGTTTCCCTCTCCCCCCCTCCTTTCCACGCTCTCTGAAAAGCAATGGGAAAAATGTCCTCAGGTGAGAATTAATAACAACAGAAGTCACAGCATTGGGGGGACCAGCAGGTCCACAGTCAGGTGCAGACTGTTATGCCCACGGGGGTGATGGACAGAACTGGACAAAGTCAGTGCAGACAGAGGGTCGCAGGAACACTGACTGGCCAGTCCCAGCGCCTGTGTCAGATACCCGCCTCCTGCAGCGTTGTCACAGGACACGGCAGGCCTCGGAGGCCTGTGCTCGGGGGGCGGTGGCATCCGGAACTGGCGCGGGACGCCCGTGTGAAGCCCCGAAGGACCCGATGCTGTGAGCGCCGCAGAGAGTGACCCTTCTGTGGGGAGGGACACTGTCGACAGAAGCAGGCCCCTTGGTCCCTCAGAGAGGGGCCCTGGTGATGGTCCTCAGGAGCTGCGGTAGATGCCAGAGGGGCTCACGGGCCCAGAGACTCGCCACCACCGTGAGGTCCAGGCTGGGACCCTGGGGACCCTGCCAGGCTGAGTGGGGCCTGGGAGCGCATGGTCAGTAGGACACAGGGCTTGAATAGCCTCTGAAGACAGATGTTCCTCGGCTTCTGAGGGACCCTGACCCCTGGGGCCCTGGTCACTGGATGGCTCCAGGCACTGGTGTCCTGGGGGAAGCCAGGTGTTGGATAGGACACACTGCTGGACTAATTGTCCCCGGCCTTCCCGCGACAGGGAGAAGGGCTTGCCCTGGACAGTCTGCGCGCGGACAGCCTCTTTCTCAGGGAGGAGAGCTTGTCCCCCAGCACCTTGCGCAGGCCCGAGGCTTCGCTGCCACAGCCCAGGTCCTGCCTGGGGGCTGGGAGCCTCCCCGTGAACATCTCCCACCGCGCCAGGGCGTCCACAGCCCTGTCCACCTGTGCCAGCTCCTCCTCAGTCACCTCCCTCTCCAGGGCCCGGATGCAGGTCTCCAGCCACTGTTCGTGCTCCCAGACGGCATCCGCCGGGGCTCCGAGCTGCGGCGGGACCTCCGAGACCACCAGGGAGCCCAGCCCGTCCTCGGGCTCCAGCTCTGCCAAGCAGGCGGGCGTCCACTTGTCGGGGGTCCACGTGTCGGGGGTGAGGGGCTCCGACAGGCTGGTGCTTGGCTCCACGTCGCTCTCACCACACAAGCCCGAGTCGGCACTGCAGGGCGGGGTGTCCTCCCACACCGACGACGGCTCCCCTGCCTCCTGGCCCGGCCACTTCCCCGCCACGGTCTGGGTCCAGGTGTAGAGTCTCTGGGAGGGAGACACAGGTGGCTTTCTCTTTATTGTCACTTACCAGCCAGTGAGCCCCTTACCTAAGGGGTCCCCATGGTCCCCAGCCGCCCAGGGCAAGTGACAGGCTCACGACATGGAGTCCTGGCCGGCGCCCTCGAGGGCTGGAGTAGACCCACCTTGCCAGGGCCTGCTGTTCAACCTCATGGTGACTCAAGGTCACATCACACAGAGCTCACAATTAACTCTTAAAGTTACGTTAAATTTTGTGCTACATTCACTCCGACTGCTGCTCTGCACGGCCCCACCCATCCTGTCTGGGGTGGACCCCCCAGTGCTGCACCGCGGGGCGCCCACCCTCAGTGACAGCTGGGATGGCCCACTGGGACGGTCCTCGCACCGTGGAAATGGGTGGACTCCACAAAGCAAGGCTTTCTCTTTAGAGGGTGGTACCTGGTACCACAGACAGCGGAGACCCTTCCTGGCCAGGCCCTTGTCATCACTGTGTCACCAACCAGAGTCCTCAGCCGCTGTCCCAGTGACCATGGAGGCAGCTTCCCTCCCACAGCAAGGCCAGGGCACCGCAGGGCCCCCTCTCCCCCACTCGGGGCTGGGCCCCCTTCCTCTGCTGAGCCCCTCCAGTCATGATGCCCCGGGAAAAAGGGCCAACATTTTAGGGGGTTCTCTGGGTAGGAAGAAGGGTCCAGGAACTTCACCAGGTTGGGG